TGTATGTGAATACACCGTGTTGCACAGTGCCCACAGAGATCAGAAGAATGCTTTGGATCCCTGGAACTGGAGTTATAGATGGTTGTTAGCCACCATGTGGGTCCTGGGAACTGAACCTGGGTCTTCTGCAAGAACAGTCAGTGCTCTTAACCACTGAGCCATCTCTCCAGCTCCGATATTATATTTTTAAAAAGAACAACACTCCATTTCCTTCCTGCTAACATGTCTTTCCATATTGGCCAGGTCTGCATCCGATGGGGATGTTTGTCAGTTCTAGAGACCAGATTTGAAGATCCTGTGCCCCAGATAACCCCAGCTGACTTGGAACTTACTGTGTAGACCAGGCTGGCCTTGAACTCACAAAGATCCTCCAGCCTCTGCCTTGCAAGTGCTGGGATTAAAGGCGTGTGCCACCACACCTGGCTTGATTTACTTCTTTGATAGCAATTTAGCACATTAGGACCAGAAGAGGCTTATAAGAAGTTGAGTCACCTAGCTGATGGTGACAGAGCTGCCTGAGGTCCATGTCCAGGCTCTGAGGACAATGTTTTCCACTCAGGAGGTACCACCTTTGTGTCTGCCTCTGATGCCTCCCTGGTGCCAGTGTCCATTATAGATATGCTTGCATGTCATTGTGCTATGAGCATGTGGCCAGAGCACATGGACACAGGCCTTCAAAAACTAGCCACGTACAAAGGGAGATGTTGGTGAAGGATGTTGCCATGATGCCTGGCTGGTGCACCCTCCTAAATGTGACTATCCATCCTCATCATTTGAGGTCACTGGATCTTTTGTTCCCATCACAGGAGAGCATTTACTCACAGGCAAGGTCCTGAAACCAGTAGAGTGAAGAGCCAGGAGTGGCGTAGGGTAAGGAGGGTGGTGGGGGTTAGAAGTTCCAGTAAGGGCTCTATGAAGTCATGGTGCAGATAGGGTTCTTGAGTGTGAAAAGGGTTCGTGGGCTTTTGATGTTACCGATTTAAAATTATGGTATAAATGCTATCTAAGTGAGTGCCGGGCTTGATGCATAGCTGAAGGGGATTTGCAGTAAAATTTCAGGATGGTTGTGTTATGGGCCACCTTGGGATTGTGGTGAATTAGGAATAGGGTCTTTGAGGCCCAAATTTTGAAAACCAGAAAGTGAGAAAAGCTGTGGAGAGGCACTTTCTTCTAGTAGTCATTTACTGTCTCACCTCCTCTTTGCTTTTGTGAGGGCAGGGACTCCTTGTTGAAAACTGCCTGTGTTGATAAGGGTGTGAACAGTTGGTTCACTTTGTACTGTGGGGGAGGCCCAGCACAACTCCTGCATGATGGGTGAATAATAGTCACCAAAGGGGGTGAGCATGGACCAGCCACAGTGCTTTTGCAATCCACCTATTCACAAACAGTGGGTTGTGCTTGTTAGCAGTAACTGCCGACTAGAGGAAAGCGGTGCTCACAGATCTGAGGGGACTTCTTTCCACTGCATCTGACTTGGGCTGGTATCTAGGGCAGGACGTGGCACTGGCTTGGAGTTCTGGCATTTAGGATGCAACTTTTCAGATGGGAAGAAAAGCATAACTGATTGTTTTTATTTTTTAAAAAAAGATGATTTATTTGCCATTTTGAACTAAAAAGGTTAGGAAAATATAGTGAGGAAAATACTAAGACAATTACTACTCATAGCTCCCAGGGCAGGAGCTTAACTCTGCTTCATGCACTTAATAGTTTTCCTCTTTGAGTGGTGTGTGTGTGTGTGTGTGTGTGTGTGTGTGTGTGTGTGTGTGTGTGTGTATGTGTGTATGCATGCATGCATGCATCATGTGTCACTTCAGCCTGCTGTGGACTTGGACTTGTGTTCAGTGTCAACACACAGGTTAGGACCCAGGAAAGGTAGTTCTGGGTGGGTGTTGGTGGGCCCAACAGCTGCTTTGCTACAGTGTACAGGACCTGAAATGGCTGTTGAAAACCAAATTATTAGTGCAGTGGGCCAGGTAGGCTAGACTGCCCCCATCCCCACCCCCTGCCCAAATCATACCAATTTTGTTCTAGTATAAGTTGAGTGTGTGGTTATAGTAACTTGGATGGAAAGGTTCGGCAGACTGTATTAACCTTGAGAACAAAAGCTGAATGAAGTAGGTCTAGGTTCTAAGGAAGACTTGATGTCAGGTAGTGGGCAGGTGAGGTTTTGGAATTATTGGGACTTGGGGCCTATGGCTTTTTTTTTTTTTAAGTGATCCAAGGTAAGGCTTGATTTGGGGGATCCCTGATCCCTGGAATATGGTGAGGGGCCCTGGGCCCACTGGCAGGAGTGTGTCTCTGATGTCTTCATCAAAATCTAAACCCTCCAAGTTCTAGATGGCCCTGATGGGTACTTCTAGCCCTAGTCCTGAGAGTAGTGAACAAGGTGTGTCTGTGTGTGTTGAGGGAGGTGGTGGCTGTGAGTTAAGAGTTGACACCAGGACTCCTTGAGCTCTGATTGCGTGCTGCCTTACCAGTCTTTGATGTCTGATCTATGGGCTCACTTTATTTATTGCCATAAAAATCAGAGGAGTGCAAAGCAAATCCCAGGGTGTGACTTGGCATCTGGTGATGGGCAGGGCCAGCCCCATTGCCCCTGAGCCATTTCCTTCAAGACTAAGGTCATTTTCTCCAAATATCCTGGCTTATATTATTGGGTAAATGACTTGTAACTGAACAGTGCACTGACCTTGTCCGTAGGTCAGGTGTTTGAGGAGGCAGTATGGAGTGGATACAGAGCAGACCAGGCATGGGCACCTGTCACCCGTGTTCTCTTAGGGTCCCTTGCTCCTGGCACTATTAGACAAACCATATAACACGCCTTTATCTGAATTTTTCATAGTTTACATCCTGGGTAGGGGGGAATAGAGTAACTTACAAAGGCGAACACCCCCGCGCCCGGGTCTGCTCTGTGGGTCAGGGCTCGCCGTTCCAGATGGCTTCCATTCTCCACCCACAGTCTCTGTTAGCTTTTACCCACCTCTCGAGGGCCTGCAGTCTCACCCCAGGTTGGTAAATGCCCCCTCTTGAGACGCGGGGGGGGCATTTTTTCTGCCCCGTCGCCGCAGGCCGCTTCTCTTCTAAGATGGCACCAAAAGCCCCTCCCTCCTCGGCCTCCGCAGCAGGCACCGCGGCTTGGGACACAGCACCTCATGGACACTGTTGAATGTTGTATGACCTTTGCTAGTTTTCCTCTCTGACTCTGGTGTTCTCATTTGTAAACCAGGGTCACTAATAACTGGGCCATGAATTGTTTATAAAGACTAGGAGGTATGTGGAAAGCCCTCAGCCCTGTATGTGTTTACAGCTGGTATTTGAATGGAAAGGTAAGTCTCAAGGGCACATTATAACAGGTCCTCAGAGTTCTCAGCCCCTTTGGCAGAGTTTCTCTGATTATAATGAGAGTTCTTGTAAGATTTATTTTTATTATTTTAAATTATGTGTTTCTGTATGGTGGTATGCACACTTGAGTTCTGGTGCTGCTGAAGGCCAGACACCTTGGGTCCCCTGGAGCCAAACTTGCAGGCCGTTGTGAGCCACCTGATGTGGGTGCTGGGAGCTGAACTCTGGTCTTCTGCAAGAGCAGTAAATGTAGTTAACTTCAGAGCTATCTATCTAGCTCCCAGTTCTCCTTTTAAATAAAAGCTGCTTTTTGCCCTGGCTTGGAGCAGAGCAGATCCCGCTGGAATCCTTGGAGTGGCCAAGGGATGACATACTCAGATATCCTCACATTCTGGCAATGCTGTCAGTGCTGTTGTGTATCTGTCCCCAGCTGTGCTTCTCTCAAGTAATGTAGTAAAAAGACGGAATCTGAGAGCCCTTCTCTTTGTCCCCTCCCTCCTGCTGTCTGAGTATCAGAGTCCTTGTACAGCCTGTACCTCTGTTAGATCCTGAAGTGCCATTCACACCCCTCTCCTGGGTTTCTGACTTTCTTGAAGCAGACTCATCTCCTTTGCTCATCTGGCCAGTGTAGTCCTGTTGCCTGCCTTGGCCACAGTGCTCCTTTTAGATGCCAATGGGCTCTCTGGCTGTTCCTATTTCTTTAGCCTCCAGCATGCCAACAGATCTTAGCCCATAAACATGCCCAGGGGTAGTTAATGACCAACCAAAACAGACCCTAACTATACTGGGCACAGTGGATCTCAGCATCTCAGACCTTGACCTACATTAAAAAAACAAAACACTTTCTAGCTGGGTATGGTGACACATGCCTTTAATCCAGCACTCAGGAGACAGGAGCAAGTGGATCTCTGTGAGATTGAGGCCAGCCTGGTCTACATAGTTCCAGGCTACCTGGTGCTCAGGGAGACCTAGTCTAAAAAAACAGAACAGAACAAAAACAAGCAAAGAGAAAAGGGAGCAAGGAAAGGCCACAGTCAAGGCAGGCAGTAGCCCTCCATGGTGCTACATGGTCACTTTTCCTGTTTGTGTCATCTCGTTGTCTGTTTTTAGTGCTGGCCTGCAGTGTGGAAGCACTGGCTTGGTGACTAGAAGCTGAGGATGGGCCTAGGGGTCAAGGAGGTTGTCTGGGCATCACTCAGACAGTGGGTGACTCCAGGCTTCGCTAGGCAAAGCACCAGTGGTTGGGAAGAGACAGACACCTCCAGCCACTGGAGGCTGGGGTGGGATGCCACTGTTATGAGTCACCCTGTGGGGACACCTTTGCTTTGCCATACCCTTTTGGACAGAGGAAAGAGCTCTAGATTGGAAGTTAGAACCCATGGTAAGCCCCTTGACTTCTGTGCTGAGGTTTTTCAGGGGGTGGTTGTGAGGCCCAGGTGAGGAAATCCATGGGAAGTAGAGAGTGTCTAGTAGTACTGATCATTGTCCTGTGCTTTGGTCATCTCCATTCTCTCAGTACTACTTAGAAGAAAGATCAGTAGAAAAACAAAACCACTAGTTTTGCCTTCTGCACAGTCTGGTGGGGAACTAGTCAGTGTGAACGTGATCCTGTGTGGGATGTGGTGCCCCCTTTCCTAACTTGGCTTCTTTTCTTCCAGCCTTGAAGGATGGCAGCTATGATGGAAGATGCCATCATGGTGGCCAAAGGCCTTGCCAAACTGACCCAGGCAGCTGTGGAAACCCACCTGCAGAACTTGGGCCTTGGTGGGGAGCTCATCATGGCAGCCAGGGCCCTGCAGTCCTCAGCTATGGAGCAGATCAGCATGGTCTTGGGGAAGGTGCAGGTAAGGAGGCCCCTTCCAGAAGTGGGTGTAGGGGGAACTGGTGAGAAGAGGGCCAGACTCTTGGTGAGACCAGAGGATGAACCAGGACACAGACACTTGATGGCTGGTCTTGTTGTAGACAGGACTAGAGGTCCAGTGGCTGTTATGTCCTGCTGTCATTTTAGGGTAGGGTATGGTAGGGTAAGGCATTTATGTGAAGCTCTGCCTAGTATAACAGAATATCACAAACTAGAAAGCTTAAACAATTTCTACTTATTTCTCACAGTTCTAGATGTTGGAGGGTCCAAGATTAAAGCTCAGTAGATTTGACATCTGGTGAGACCCCATTCCTGGTTCATAGGCTCTGTCCTCATGACTTAATCACCTCCTGTGTACGTAACCTATGGGTTAGGTTTCAGACACACAGTCCACAGCAGGGCTCATGTGTAGATCCATCTAGCCTTGGAGGGCTCCTCCCACCAACCTTGCTGAGCCTTAGCCAAGACCTGTCTTATTCTCCATTTTGCTGAGGATGCCCCCTTTACAGGGTGGCAGTTAACATGGCCCTGATGAGGGCTGCTTTGCCTTAGCTTTCTATTGTCCCTTATGCTGTTGGGGTGAAGGTTACCTTTGTGTCAAGGTTGGTGTCTTACATCACAGAGTTTTTTTTTTTTTTTTTTTTTAACCCAAAAAAAATAACAAAAGAAATTGTGAATAGTCTGGGTTATGCGAGCACTTCACCCACACTAACATCAACACTAAGGGAATTTTCTGTTTTTTTGAGGCAGGGTCTCCTTGTGGCCCCAATTTTTTTTTTTTTTTTTTTTTTTTTAAGCCAAAGTAAAGTCACAAAGTGATTGTGGATACGTCTGGCTATGGCAGAGCATTGCCCACCAGTAACTCAGTACTGAAGGGATGAAGAAGGGTGTGCATGCACACACATGTGCATATTGGGAGGTGCATTGCAAAGATTGTCCTGCTTCCTTACTTGGTCTGTTTCTGTCCTGTAGCATGTCCTGCCTTCATGGTGGGCAGAAGCACAAACTGGGAGGCTTAAACAGCAAGTATTTATTTCACATAGTTCTGGACCAAGGTCTCATGCTTCTTGGGCTGCAAGGCTGTCTCGGTCCCCAGGCCTTTGGTTAGTCTTAGGTCCAGGATTTGTAGCCCCTTCCCTCTTATACAGGGGTGACACAGTATCCCTCATCCTACATAAATATCTTTGACTTTTAGATGTCTTAATACCCTTGAAGTCCTTCATTGCTGCTCTGGGATGGGACAGGCCTGTATTTGTACTTCATTTCTCAGACCAAGCAGTTTGCTGTAAGAGACTTCGATTAAGTGACTGGGTCAGAACCCTTGACCCATTCCCAGTCTTCCTGCTCTTGTCCTTATGTTGCGATTGGGTGGTGGCCCTCCTGCTTGGTGCTGGATCTCTGGAGAACCTGGAAGGTGCACTTGCTTCAGTGCTTTCCATCACCCCAAAGTCAGACTCCAGTTAGATCTGGCTTTTTCCAGGAGGGTAAGAGTACCACCTGGGCTTCCTCCCTCTTGCTTTTTGCTTTCACCCTTCCTACAGGCCTGACCTAGGGTCTAGAAGAGGCAGGGCCATCCTCCCTTAGTTACTGGAGACAGGAGACCGAGACCGGATGACCCACCACCATGGAGGAGGCCCCTGAGTCGGTGGCCACTTTGCTTCCCCTCGATCCCTCACATTTAGGTTTGTGGTATTTCCCTCTACCCTGAAGGTCTGAGGGCTCTAATTGTTCTGAGATCCTGCATGCCTCTGGCTTCCTAGGGACTTATAAATTCATTCAGCAGATACTCAAAGAGGCTGGGGCCCTTTGCTGCGTGTAGGGCCCCACAGCTACTTCAGCAGGTAGCAGTCACATAAGACCATTTGGTTATCATGGGAGTTATGTAACAGGAGGGGACTCTGCCCCAGATTCTGCTCCTCTTCACAACAGGGCTTCCCTGGCTCTATGAGAGGCCCAGAGTCCCAGTGTGACTCATTTCTACTCAGAGTCATGGAAGTGACCTGGGACTTCGACTAGCAGGGCAAACCTTTGGCTGTGGACCCCTGCTCTGCTGTTTGCTGCTCAGAGGCCTTTACCAGTCACATCAGCGCTCAGCCTTAGTTTCCTGTTTGTAAAATGAGAGAAGCACCCAGTCTGCCTGCTTCCATGGGAGAGCAAAGCTTACTTAAATTCCCTAGAGCACAGAGGCTCCAGGTCTCCTGTGTTGCTGCATGATGTGTGGGCAGCACATAGGCCATGACATTTGCTCAGTTTTCACTTGAATCAGGGAATCAGTCCACAGGCCTCTCTTTAGGACACGGTGCTGTTTATAGCCTCCACCAGCAGCTTCTGTGATCTTGGCTGTAACTCCATGTTACTCTCTGGCAATGGAAGCCCTATTTCAGATGAGGAAGTAGCCAAGAAGGGTTAGTAATTTGCTCAAGGTCGTTCCTGGTTAAAAGTTAGAATGGATCTGGGCCTGAAGGTTGGCTCTGTTAACTTACAAAGAAAACATGGGGTGTTCTCTAATCCCTTTTGCTCAACCCTGTATCTCAAGTTCCCAAGGCTAGCCAGACACCATGACCACCTCTGGTGAGAATCTAACTGCATACCCAAGCTCATGGTAGTACTGTCTGCAATGAGGTGCTGCGGAGCCCAGGGGTTCCCATCTTTGGTCCCTTTTCACCACTCCCTGGTCCTTTTATACCTTTGTAGGCTTTTCCCATCTTTTGCCCTGATTTCCCTCTAAAAAGCCCCACAAAGCTCAGCCTTGGCCCTGCTTTGTAGGTGAGGAACTTGTTGCCCAGAGCCATGTGCATCTGGCCTGGGCCTGGCTGGGCCTGCAGTAGATGCTTAGTGGCATGTGTTGCTGCATGCCCAACACTACACAGCAGAGTCCTAGCAGGAGCCAGATGCTTCCTCTTGGGCTGTGAAGAGGGCCTAAGGTCTCCAGCCCTCCAGAGGGTTAGAGAGGGCTGAATAGCAGTGGTTGGCAAGTCCTGTACCCACATGAGGAGGAGGTCCAGACCACACCCGTCCCTTACCCTGGCCTTTGTTCTCTTTAGGGTCAGGATAAGCATGAAGAGTCATATGCCACCGAGAACTTCGATGACCTGCAAGCCGAGGTCCAGTTCTCAGCACCACAGGCAGCTGGAGCCTCCTCTGACGTCTCTGCAGCCTCTGACTTGGATCAGGCGATGCCTTCGCCCCTGGGTCATGCCCATAGTGAGGGGCCAGCTCCTGCCTATGTTGCCAATGGACCCTTCAGGGAAGCTGGGCTCCCGGGTCAGCCTACCTCCCCTATGGGAAAAGCCAATAGGTGGCTCTTTGCAGACCCCAGAGACTTGTTCCTGGTCAGTGGCATCCAGCAAAGGTTCTTCCACCAGGACCAGTCCTCTGTAGGGGGCCTCACAGCTGAAGACATTGAGAAGGCCCGTCAGGCCAAGGCTCGCCCTGATACCAAGCCACACAAGCAGATGGTGGGTCTGCAAGGCAGCATGGTGGGGTCCCACTGGGCAGCTCCCACTCCCAGTGGGGCTAGTGTCCCTGTTTTGCCTGTCCTTTTTGATGCTGTGGTTAGGGGTCTTTAGGAACGTGAAGGCTCTTGGTACAGTGCTGCCAGGAAGAGTTGCTGCCTGTGGGAGTATAGAGGGGAGGGAAAGGCAGCCTGAACCTAAGGCTACTGTGTCTTGTTTGCCAATTTTGCCAACTCCATAGGTCTCTTTTGTTTTCCCTCTAGCTCAGTGAGCGGGCTCGGGAGCGGAAGGTGCCAGTTACACGGATTGGGCGGTTGGCCAACTTTGGAGGTGAGGTGGCTGTGTGCCCCATGCTGTCCTTCCCCTCCTGCTCTGTCCTATCTGACCTGGTTGAATGGAGGTGAACGTATTTGGGAACCCAGCCATGTCCCAGGATGGGGGAGCCTGTGACAGTGTTGCCCATCTATTAGCTGTTGAGGGTCAGGGTGTTCCGCTTAGTGATGACCTGGTTACTGGATTCCAGCCCCATCTCGGCTCATCCCTGGGGCTGGTGTATGACTGAAGCCTTGCCGGAATTACAGCTTGGCCTGCCTGGTGGGCCTTGCTTAGGGTAGTCTCTGCAAGGAGGAGGCTGATCATGAGTACTGGCTCCTCACAGGGCCTTTTAGCTCCCTAAATGGAGCACTTTTTGCCCTGGGACCCGCCATCTGGGGCGGCTGTTTGCCAGATCCCATAGGCCTGCAGCTGTTAGTATAATGATAATGAGTTGATATCAACTGAGTTGATATTAGTTACTTATTCAATGTGCTGCAATGTCTTGAATTTTTGTACCTGCTTGGGGGTGTGAGAAGTCATTGCACCTACCACACTGTACTCCTTTGTATGCATTGAAGGATGCTTTCGTAGTGCAGCCTATAGCACTTGCAGGTCCTCTTCATGACACCCACCCACTGTAATGATAATGAGTTGATATCAACTGAGTTGATATTAGTTACTTATTCAATGTGCTGCAATGTCTTGAATTTTTGTACCTGCTTGGGGGTGTGAGAAGTCATTGCACCTACCACACTGTACTCCTTAGTATACATTGAAGGATGCTTTCGTAGTGCAGCCTATAGCACTTACAGGTCCTCTTCATGACACCCACCCACTATATATCTACCAGGTCCTGTTGAGAATCTGTCTCTTTTCATAAAGGTGTAGCTGTCCTCAGTATGTTCTCCAGGCAATGTAAATAATGAAAGAGTAGTTTTGACAGCTTGTTTCAAGTACTGGCCTTGGCCAAGTGGTTTGGTCTGGTGGATTCACAGTGATGCACTGAGTTGGGCAGGAAGACCCACGATCCCATGTCTACCTTTTCCTTTGTAGTCCATCTGCAGCAGTTACTTTTTTCCCCCCAAAGTCACCAAATATCTGGCAGAAACAGCAGGAAGTTTCAGAAGGTTCTGTCTGTGGTCACTTGACTGTTTCTGGGCCTGGAGTGAAGCAGTAGAGCAGAGGGGTGGGAATATGGGGTAAAGCAAAGTCTTCACCTTGTGTTGGACAGGAAGCAGAGAGAATGTGATAGGAATGGGCTAGGGATAATACACCTCCAAGGACCCAGCCTTGGAGGCATCTGCTATTCTCTGCAGTTACAGAGGAAGCTGAGCCCAGAAGTCGCCAGAATCCCAGGGCCACATACATATCCGTGACAGTCCTAAGGACCTGAGCCTAGGCCTTTCTCTGGCACAGGGACATCTGAGCTGCCTGCCTATAACTAGGCCTCTTCCTTCCCACACAGCCAGAGGGCCTGCTAGGTCTTACCCTCCACTGGTCTACTTCTGGGAATGGAAGGCCAGGTCTTGAGGCCCTGGGAGAACAAGCCCCAGGTGCTTCCTCTACCTCCTTCTGGTCCCCCTGCCTCTTGTGCCCAGGCTGCAGCTCCTGCCCTAGGTCCCTGGCTTCTTTGGGGTGAGGAATGCCATAGGCTGCCAGGTGTTGGTCTAGAGGGAGACTATTACTGAGGATCAATAACACCTGGAAGCAAAAGACAATACCCATGTCCATCTCTCTGCTCTATGTGGACTTTCTTTTTTTAATTTTATTTTTTATTTTATGTATATGAGTGTATTGCCTGAATGTATGTAAGTGCACTCATGTCGTGCAATGCCCTTGGAGGTCAGAAGAGGGCATCAGATCCCCTGGAACTGGAATTAGACGGTTGTTAACTACCATGTGGATGCTGGAATTCCAACCTGGGTCCTCTGCAAGAGCAGACAGTACTCTTAACGATTGAACCATCTCTCTAGCCCTATGTGGACTTTTATTTTTTAATTACTATTTACTATTTTATGTGTTTGAGTGTATTGCCTGCATGTATGTAAGCATACCCATGTTGTGCAATGCCCTCAGAAGTCAGAAGAGGGCGTCAGATCCCCTGGAACTGGAATTAGATGGTTGTTAGTCACCATGTGGGTGCTGGGAATTGAACCCGGGTCTTCTGCAAGAGCAGTCAGTGCTCTTAACTACTGAGCCATCTCTCCAGTTCCCCTATGTGAACTTTCTTAACAGAATGATCCATACCTGTTAAAAAAGTGGGGCTTAGTGTTGAGGATGTGCTTCTAGGGGTAGAGTCTTTGTTTGCTTAGCATGTACAAACCCTGGGTTCCATCCTGCGCACGAAAAAATTGACACAGTACAAGCATGGCCGAGGACAGTGCTGGTCTGCAGCAGGTGGTTTCATCCTTGCTGCTGTTGCAGAGGCCCCTGGAGTTTCTGGCAGGTGGTACCAAAGCCACTAGGTGTGGTGACTTATGGGTCCTGCTCTCAAGCATTTGTCACCTCGCTTGTTCATGAAGGACCTTGTTGTTGAAAGTTGTTTTTTTTTTACCTCTGGTGATGGTCAGAGGCTGCTTCTGTCATGACCGCCAGAGGGACTTGAGCAAGGAGAAGGGGTAAGGCCCCTAGGTTACCCAGAAAAGCACCCCAATCTGGACGCAGGCCCAGCATGCCTCTGCTTTGCCTGGAGGAGAGCTCTGTGTTTCCCTTGATGGCAGAGCTGCCCATGAAAAAAATATGGGAACTTCCTGTGTGTGGGCAGTGTGCTTTTAGGCCAGGAGGGAGGCCAGGCTGCCAACAGTGGCTTTAGGGTAGGTTTTCCTTCCAGACTTCCCAGAGGCCTGCAAAGGGCAAGCCTTCTAAACCATGAATCAGAGCAGGAGAGCCATGCTGTGCTAGGGTCTTGGGTACAGAAGCAGGGTGCCCAAAGGTGGTGGGAAATCCCAGCTGAGGCATCTCTTCCTGGAGTGGCCTCTAGATCTACCTGGCTCTGGATGAAGGTAGAGCTGGGCAAGCGTTTCCAAGAATCACAATATACCTGGGTTGATGGAGAGGGGGAGCCAGTTTGTTCTGGGCTCATTGAATTGGGGAGGCTAAGATCAGTACTCCTGGCTGGCTGGCTGAGCTTGTTTTGCCTCCTGGGCTGCCTGCTGCAGGGAGCGGGTCCCTTGGTTGGCTGCTTCTGCTTTTGGTGTTGGTGTTGCTATTGAAGGAGCAGAGCCTGAGGCCTCCTTCCTGGAATATTCCTTCAGGCATTTGTTTAATAGCAGTCCTCCACACTGTAGAGATTGGGCTTTGACTGGGAGCCTAGAAACAGCCAGAGAAGAGTTTGGCACAGAGTGCTGGGTCCAGTAGGGGGTGGGAGTGGAAATACGTGTGTAGGAAGAACTCTGCTCAGCACGGACAGGCTGGATGACCTGAGACACCATCTGCCTTTTCTTGTCTTAGGACTTGCTCTAAGCAAGGGATACTGGTGAAAGTTAATGTTGCCTGTTGTTCTTTATGTGCCCTATTTAGGGTGCTGAGTAGGATGAGCTGGATGGGTGATGGGGAGTTAATGTTTAATCAGGATTCTAGCATCTAGTGCCCAGTCCCCTACAGAGTTGCTGGGGTGGGAGGAGAGTTAAAGGGAACATGCGGGTGGACCCACCAGGCACCTAGACCCTAGCACCCTTGTCTCACTGCACCAAAATATTCCTAAGGATGTTTTAATCATGTCCTCGGGCATTACAGAAACTGGCTTCTTCCCCAGTTTGGCTTATTCTGCCCCACACTGTCAGTTCAGCACATTAAACATTTGAACCAGCCACACTGAGTGTTTTAAGTGTGGCTGGTCCAGAGCAAGGTGTGCTGCACATGTGTCATTCACACAGGATTTTGAAGACAGTGCACACACCCACAGATGTAAAATGCCTTTAGCTTCATACTGATTCCTGTTTTGGATATAGTGTGTTAAATAAAACATTGGAATTGATTTCCTACGTTTCTTTTTGATTTTTTAATGGACTACCAGAAAAGTTAAATTCATGTACATGATTCACATGAAATTTCTTTTGCTAAGCTCTGGCCTGATCATTTTGAATAGGTAAGCACTTTTGTTGCGCTACCACATACCTGACCCTAATGTGGGCACTTAATTCTCTTAGTCCTTTTAATAACCCTGAGGTAGGAGGTGCTAAGAGTAGGTGAAGTAGAGGACACACTGCCCTCTGGTGGCAGAGAAGATACACTGTAAAATGTTTTAAAAATTATTTTTTTTAAAAACAGGGTTTTAATGTGTAGCACTGAATGGCCTGGAACTTCATATGTAGACCAGGCTGGCCTCAAACTCAGAAATCTGCCTACCTCTACCTCCTTAGTTCTGAAATTATAGGTGTGTACCATCATACCTGGCTCTTAAAAAATTACCCTTTAATTTTAAAAGATTAAATTTTATTTCTGAGCCAGGCGTGGTGGAGTATGCCTTTAATCCTAGCACTTGGAAGGCAGGGGCAGGCAGATCTCTTGAGTTCCAGGCCAGCTGGGGCTACAGGGAAACCCTGTCTCAAAAAAAGAAAAAATATTACTTTTCGAGACAGGTCTCACTATATAGTTCTGACAGCCCTGTAACTTGTCATGTAGACCATGATGGCCTTGAACTTGTGGAGTCCTCCTGCCTCTACCTCCTAACTGCTGGTGGGATAATAGGCATGTGCTTCCAAGCCCAGCTTAAAATTTTATTTTTCATCAGGCAAGTTTTTCAGTAAATTCAGTTTTTCTTTAATGCATTACTGTTGTAGAAAAGTTGGAAAAGAATGATACAGATGCAGATCTCCTTGCTTTAAACTGAGCGCCTGTGGGGGCCCCGCCTTGCCCTTGCAGGTGTGGGGAATCCTCTTTGACTGCTTATCCTGGAGAAGCTTTACCATCTTCCCTCCTGGCTGTGGTCTGATTGTGTCTCACATGCTCCTTACAGTCTCTGTGAATGGTGTGCCTCCCCCAGGCAGCCAAAAGAAGCGGGGAGGAAGAGGATG